CTTTTAAAGAGCTAATTTAATAAATTGTAGGGAGCTGCTCTTGGCTACAGGCTGAAGGTGTACGAGGATGGAAGCAGAGAGCTGCTTTGAGTGCCAGAAGTGGCTGTTCCAAGGAAAGCACAGCAGAGGTTTTATTAACACTATCTTCTTTACCTGAAGGTGCCCGTTAGCATAGACAGTCTCAGGATATCATTTAAGAGGCAGCTACGTTTATCTCAAACAATGCACTCTTTGTTTCTGCTGTCTTTAATGCAGACACAGACACAGGTTCATCTCCTGGCGAATGAAGAATTTGCAAATTCTTCTCTCAGTACGAAAGGGTGTTTTGCTGAAACTTTCAGCAGCGGGCTGGGTTTTACTGGTGAAGCAGGCAGTGTGCAATGGGCAAAAGTGCCTTGATAATCTAAGAGCCATTCTCTCTTGCAGCATTTCTCCTGAAACTAGTCAAACTATCTGGCCAAAGATAATACAGGAGCTGGCAGTTTACCACCATTTACCAGAATACCACTACATATGTTGCCCTTTGAGTACTAACACTGCTGATCAAATTAATTGCTCTATGGAATTATTTCATTTTCAGAAGACAAAGACTACTTTAAAGATATTTAGCCAAAAGTTTTCAAAATTGCAAATACGTCTTTCTGATAATTCCATAAAATTTTAGGAAAACTACTATTCAAGTGAAAAGTATTTCTTTTATAAAAGTCTGAGCATTTAAACCAAAAGGCAGTTTAAATAAAATCAGCAAAGTGAGAAAAATCAGTATCAGTCATTGCAATTATTTGTCAAACAGAGTAGAATTGAATCCAGTCCAGCCTCATTCTTCAGAAAACCAAGGAATTCTTCTTAAGAACTCAGAAAATGTTAAGTAGATAAATTTGAAAAAGCTCTACTGTTATGTTTCAAAGCAAAATTACTGCATTCCCCTTTGCCTATGTTAACACTACAAATAAATAACAATAACATTTACAAATTATTGTTGGCACACCTGTGAAGCTGCTAAGTGCCCAAATGTGGGATAAAATATGTGACAAAAATCCCCAAAGCAAGAGATCCACAAAGTTCTACAAGCAGAAATCGTAAAAGCTGGGCAGCTTTGTTAGTGCACCATCGATATAAACTCATTTTATGCTTCTTTATTTCTGCTGACAATTTCTAAAATTGGAAGTAATGAAAAGAGAAACTCTGTGGGTAATGTAGGTACTTTTGAAGATGTGGTGGGTACAGAAAGAGATGATTGCAGGCTCCTTGCTTATTGCTTTGCAGAACTCCTGTAGCAATAGACCTGTTGCAATAGCAGTAGTGTTCTTGTAGTCGTAAATACTAACACAAGATGTAGATGCCTCTTCTGTAAAAAAACCAAACAAGTACTAAAGAAATGTTGAGAAGGTCTTGAGATTTGGGCCTGAATAATTGCAAATGAATGGCAAGAGTCTTGGACAGACAGACCCTGGAGAAAACATTGCTGGTGGTTACATCGTCTTCGGTTCTCAGAACATAAAGCAGGAGTGTGTGAGCTGACTGTGGCTGCTCTACTGGATCATATTGTTGGATATAGTCTTGGAAATAGCAGCACCCTAATCATTTGAAGTTAAATTTCATTATTTGGGATAATAAAACCAGATAGGAAGCAGGTGCAGAAACCTTATCAAACATGCTACATGTTTATTCTGGTCTGTACAATACCAAATGTACAAAATGCGAATAGCTGACTTCATCATACAAATTTTCTAAATATGCTTTAAAGGTGGCCCTAAGTAGTGCACACTGCAAGAATCAAGGAGGAAGATGGAAAAACTACAGGCGAGCACCATGAGGTCTGCAACAGTCACAGAACATGAAAACCCTACGAACCAATGTTGCACTGACAAAAAGTCAAACATCAGGGTATTGGCCTTCACTTCACCTCCAGTGCATTGGAGCAGGTTTTGGAGTATCTGATATACATTCTTACCATACAGACTCCCGCTCAGTTCTCCTTACTGCCAGGACCATGCCACCTTGACAAGGTTGATTTACAGCTGATTATCCACAGCACTGAGAAGCATAATAGGCTGTCCTAAAACAAGGCATGAAGGACCAACGATAGCAGTTACACATATCTCTCAACATTCACCAGTATTCAGGAACCGCCAAAACCCACAATTTATAGTTATCCCCAGTGATCATTGTGCAGTTGGTTTATTTTAATATTTGGGTTTTGATGAATTTATTAAAATCCAATTGTTTATACAGAAAAATAAGCTGAGATGGAATATCGTGTTCACATGCAAATTCCTTCTGGGCTATGGTGGCAGCAGGAGTAGAACATAACAACATATTGTAATCAAAACCATTATACCATTAAACATCACTCACTAGTACAGAACTGTACAGCTGGAAAACTATTGCTGTCCTTGATGAACTTTCCTGAATGTGTTGTGAGATTATTCTATGACACTGGCTGCAAAAAGCAGATTTTGCTGATTTCCCTAGATTGGAATAAATCATTGGCAGTTGAAAGCTTGAATCTAAAGCTGTGCTGGTGATAGTAATTTGTGGCTTAATGCAAACAAAAAAGAGCTTGGTTCTCTGGCAGTTTAATCCCAACACTTTAGGGTTTCGGTCAGTATTCTGTGTGAGAGTTTTTTTTTTTTACATTGTTTTGTCTTATCCAAGTTGTA